AGGCCAGTCCTGCCAGCTTAAATAGCCATGTCTTGAGGGCGCGGCGGAAGGAAGGGAGATCCGGGATCACCCTGATCTCTGGGGGTAGTTCGTTCCATAGGGTGGGAGCTCCCACCGAGAAGGCCCTCCCCCTGGGGGTCGCCAGCCGGCACTGTCTGGCTGACGGCACCCTGAGGAGACCCACTCTGTGGGAGCGTATTATTATTATTATTATTATTAACTATAGGGGGTGGCATTCATCTCCATTTCGAGGCCATGAAGGAAGACATTTCCATGGCCATGTGGACAACATGATATCACGGACCACTGTTTCCTTCCCATCAAAGTGGTACCTGTTTATCTACTCACATCTGCATGCTTTTGAACTGCTAGGTGGACAGGAGCGAGGTGAAGACGAGTGCTCGCCCTGTCCTGTGTCGCTTGGGTCTTGAACCCGGGCTCTTGGCTTTCCAACCAACAAGCCCAGTGTCTTAACCACTGAGCCATTGGGCTGCCCCTGAGTACCAACCAGAGCAAATTCTGCTTAGCTTCCCAAAGCAACTAAGGTTGGCTAGTTTCTGTTATCTGCGGGAGCATTGTTTATTTCACCCTTTTTCGAATGCTTCTTTAACTCATTAATTTTTGCAATAGTTAGGAAATTTGCCCCTAATATTTGGCAAATAAGATGTTTATCTAAAAGTACATTGGATGAGATTGCAGTCTTTAGTTTATCTAAACTGCACTATTCCCGAGACCCAAATAAGGCACAGATACTGTAGGTAAGGACTCAAACAGTCCATATTGTATTTATCACTAAATTAAGAAAAGGGAGGCAATCTGGCTAAGACTGAGCTCCTGTTAGGATAAGGAATGAATGAAGAAATCCATATAGATATTTTATAGACACAAGTTATATTAACAGCAACCTGCTGCCCCAACTCTATTCACCTTTTAAGTGTAGACCAAACCTACCTATTGGCAGATAGCTTTCCGACTGATGAGTCTTTAAGGGGAATCGCTTCTCCGGCAGGTGATCCAAACATGCGGGCTGACTACCGCTTTTTTCTTTGTTTCTGAAACAAAGAAGCAATTGGCACAATGTAGTTCAACTCTTTGGGGAATCCATCTTCAGCCCTCCGCACCTGATCTGTTTCTTCCAATAGGCCACTTAGCTTTATTGGGTTCAAAGGAAATGCAAAGTTCCAGAGGGGAGAGAAATATTGCTTTTCAGAGGCCTGCAACAAACCTTCCCTTCAAAACATCTGGATTATTTAGGTGAGAGAATGGCATGGGAAGGAAGTGGATGCTCCTCTGGCAGCAAGTAAAAGGCTTCAAAATTTAGAAAAGTTAACAGCATTCTGAAAATACCTGTTGGTCTTTCAAATGGGCTTTGTCTTGACCAGTGTTTCTCAACTTTGGCAACTTCAAGAAGCGTGGACTTCAACTCCCAGAATCATGGCTGGCTGGAGAATTCAGGGAATTGAAGTCCACACTTTTTGGAAGTTCCCAAAGTTGAGAAACATTGTTCTAAATGGGCAAAGACAAGATAAGTCTATCTTTAATATTTTATTTGTGTTTAGCTTCTGCACACCAGAACCAAAATAGCATAAAGCTTTTTTTTAAAAAAAAAATTGCACTACTTCCTAAAGCTTCTGTTACAGCAATCTTGCCTATTCTGGCATTTATCAAATGTCACACAATGTATTACAAACTAATCAACCCTCTTGGGGTCTAATCTGTTTTTGAATCCATGCTATCGGTTAGTTTGTGGTTCACTGTGTGTCAGAAGATTGTGTTAATGGAATAAAGCTGGGTTAAGTTAACTAGGAATCAACAACCAGTGTGAATGAACCTTACTGTGGTATTACTCTCAAGTTGCAGAAGTCGGACCAGAATATCAAAGTTGGGCTAGTAAGATCAGCTCACTCCTTCACACAGTAACCATGTCCTTACACTCAACCTAGAGTACTTCGAAAGTTTTACTTGAGAAAATGAGAAGGGAACCACACAGATTTCTTTGAGCTCCAGAGGGAGCAAAGAAGGATTTAAATTCACACACACAGGCAAAAAGCATGCATGCACGCGCACGCGCGCACACACGCACACACACACACACACACACCAATGAAGGTATTGCCAATTGGTTAATCTTGCTTGCCTGATTATTTAAGGTAACATAACCAAAGAACAAAATATTCAGGAAATAGGTGGACTGGATTTCTGGACATGCTTAACATTATTTTAAATGGCTATAGAAGCGAGATATTGACTTGCAAACCCAGAGGTGGCTTAGGAAATGCTGATCATTTTGCATAATATAAATCCCTTTTCTTGACAAGGTACTAATTAACTTGGTCTCTCTCTCTGTACATATTTTAATGGAGAGAAGCAAAAAGACTCCCTAGCCTTTTTCTGCCACTTGAGCGATCACAACTTTGAGATGTATTTGAAAGGGGCAAGGCAGTGAGCAAAGGGTTAAAAGGCTTTCCCCAATCATTGGCCTTTCAGAGCTGTCTTCCAGCTTTCAGGAAGATGATACCCTTTGATTTGATTGCAAATCTTCTGCAACATGATTTGAACGATTGAAGGAAAAGGAAGGGATTTTGCAAACAAATCCATAAACATACCCCAGCTGTTGAACATTATAAACCATGCACAACAACTCTCTCTCTCTCGTGAAACCAAGTGGTGGTACCTTAAAAGATTTCCTAAAGTGGACTCTCTGGATTGTCGATTGCACATATTAAGGCTCAGCCTTTGTGGGGTTTCTACTTGCCCCTCTGGAATGCTATCTTCTCTTGGCAGGACTGGAGAAATCCCGTATTTCTCCTCCAGGCATCTCAGAGGAACCGTTCTGTTTATGGGCTGAAATATAATCGCTCCGCTCTGCTTTGATATGGGCTTGCGATTTCCCACGTAGCATCGCACCAGGCCAGGGACAGTGTCAAAGCCTTCGTCTTCAAAGTGAAACTGCACCCGGCAGTGAGCTTCGCTGAGCCGCACGATAGTTTTATTGATCTTGAAATGCTGAGAGATGTTTTTCCACTGACAGGTAAGGACAAAATTGCCAGGACTGGAGAGAGAATCTCTGATCAAAAAGTCACCGTCTCTCTGAACGAGGCTCTCAGACACCTTTAAAAGAAAAAAAAAACAGGCCTGTTTGAAACAAGAGGAAATTATCCACTGCTGGGCCCCCCCAGTCAGGTTTTTTTTAATCATTGTCTGGCATATTTTTTAGTAAGGATACGTATACAACAATCTTCATGGCACAGTGTAGAAGGACTTTTCAACCAGTGGTACGGGTACCACCTGTGGTATATTGGCACCTGGCAGGTAGTATGCAACCATCCTAAAAAAGTGGTAGCGGGGGAGGGGAATGAGCTGAACTGGTGGCAACACCGCACAAGCCTGAGCGAGAGACGGTTGGAGCTGCAAGGCTCTCAGGGCTCAGTGGAAGCGCCGGGATCAGCAACAGGCTCCAGCTGGAAAGCAGCACTGATCCTGGCACTTCTGCTGAGCCCAGAAGAAGCACCAATCAGCTGGAATGTTGCAGCATCTCCAGGGTCTTGTGATTTACATTCAGATGCTTGGCAACTGATTCATATTTAGGACGGTCACAGTGTCCCAGGGTCATGTGAAGTGACCAAAACCTGCTGCAACCACCCAGCAGATGGGGGGAATAAAAACCAAACAACCGCCCACCCCATCTCCGCTACTATTCTTCAACAGAAATGCTCACAACAATGAAAACCTCGGACAGGAGGAAGAGCGCCGCCGGGTGGGCAGGCAGGTGTCTTGCTCGGCTGTGGCTTGGGGGGCAGTTTTTTCAGTGCCATTGTAACTTCGAACAGTCATTGAGCGAACTGTTGTAAGTTGAGGACTACCTGTACTTTATCACTTTTTTCCTTTTTTTTTTTTGGGTCATCACGTTTTTGACACCTTGCTAGGTGGCTGGTGGTACTCGGATGTTGCCATATCCTAAAAGTGGTACAATGGGTGGAAAGGTTGAAAAGCCCTGGACTAGATTACGTGTGGGACGACCGATCTCCAATTCGGTCTGCCTAACTCTTGAGATTCAACAGGATGGCCATGCGCTGGTTTTCCTCTATGACAGGGATCTCCAATCCTCGGGCCACAGCCCACTACTGGGTTGCGGCCAGTTCAGAACCGGGCCACGTCAAGAGTTGAGAGAGCATGCGTGCAGTTCCCTTGCATGAGTGGCAGTTACATGAGCATATGCAGCTTCCCTCACACAAGTGACGGGGAGCTTGTGCTTACGTGCGCAGCTCCTCTCAACACAAGTGGCGGGCACGTGCACTTGCACTCCCTCCCCTCACACTGAAATAGCATGCTCTAAGGCAGTGGTCCTCAATCTTTCCGACTTGGCCGCCCGGGTGGGGGAGGAGAAGGGATGGTTCTGTCCACGTGGCAGGTGTGCATGCGCTTGCAGAGCTCCCATTTGTGTGAGCGGCGGGCGCTTGCATGAGAGGAGCTTCTTGCGAAAGTGCAAGCGCCTGCCTCTCGCATCAGGGGAGCTGCATGCGCGAGTACAAGCATCCACCGCTCACGCAAGGGGAGCTACCCGCACAAGTGTGCTTGCCTGATGCTTTCCGCAGCCTGGTTCCGAACTGGCCGTAACCTGGTAGTGGGCCATGACCCTGGGTGTTGCGAACCCCTGATCTAAGGGGACCCAGCTTGGTTACCTTCTCTGTTGCAATGCTTGCCCTTTAGAATGGCACTGACCCTGCTGGCTTTCCATAACGCTTAAAAAAAGTTGGGGGTTCTTTTTCTTTTTCCTTCCCAGGCCTGTATGCCAAATAGTTTGGGTTGTCTGAATAGTTTGGGTTTGGCCTCCGTTTGTGCTCTTTCATGCTATGCTTTTTCAGTCACTATGCTTATTGTTTGTTTTTTATATTTTTAATCCTAGGTTAGCAAACCAGAGTCAAAATTTGCAAGTTGGGCAGCCACATAAGTTGCTCAAATAAAAAGTAATATTTAAAAAAATGGAGGGTGGATTACAAAGCATTAAAAATATGTTCTGGAATGATTCATATTTATTTGACAAACATTCAGCAAAAACAGTAAGTCATATTATAGTTTGCTGCACAGCCAGATGTTTAGACTGGATTTGACATTTTTATCCATCTACCGAGTCCTTCCCAAGTTGTTCCGAGTAGATTACGTGGAACAACTACGCCATTTGCAATTGACTGATGGTGAATTTGTCAATGCCAATTATTATTATTATTTTCCTTCTGCAGCTGATCTTATTCAGTCCCTCAGCTTTTCTGTACTAAGGTTCTGCCAGATTTCAATTTATATAGTCTTTCTTTTCTGGCTTTATTTTCATTTCCTCTGCCTCATACAGACATGTATTAGCTATTGTGTTTGAAGATTACAAAAAGATTAAGCCTATTTCCCACAAGACCAAATTCAGATTGCTTTATAAATATAAGACATTCCAAACTCTGCTATCTGGGGAGAATCATAACTCCGATTCTGTTACTTCTGAAATCAAGACCAAGGTTACTTGGCTAGAATGCAAAAATGTTTTGCAGGAACAATCCCCCATCAGCAGGAATCCCTTCCTTTCTTTCCCTGCCCTTCCCCTTCCCTACCTTACCCTATCCCAGTGATGGCAAAACTTTTAGAGACCGAGTGCCCAAACTGCAGCCGAAAACCCACTTATGTATCATCGGGTGCTGGGTGGGCGTGGCCCATTGGGTGGGCATGGCCCATTGGGTGGGCGTGGCTGCGGTGGTAACAGCAGACTGGGTGGGACTAAAAAGTTCAATCAACCAATTCCAAGTTTGTGAGATCTTTTTTTTTTTCCCGTGAGAAGTTGAAATTGATTGATTGATTGAACCTTTTTTTTTTGCACATGGCGGCGGAGGCCTAAAGCAAAAAGGTTTTATAAAACCCAGCTGAAGGCCTAGGATTGGGGCGATGGCACACGTGCCCACAGAGAGGGCTCTGCGTGCCACCTGTGGCACGTGTGCCATAGGTTCGCCACCACTGCCCTATCCTAACCTACCCTATCCTACCTCTAGACTAGAGCAAGCAAACTGGACTAATTATGGTAAATTCCACTTTTTGAAGAAAATATATGCTCTTTTTCACAGCAATCAGTTCAGTAATACTTGATAATATGCTACCCCATCACTTTGTAGTGCTCAGAGAGCATTCCACGAGGTTTAACACTCACCTAGATCATTTTATTTTCAACTGAGAGGAAAGATTTCCTGTTGAGTTTTCAATCTCATTCAACTATTTACAGCAGCTATTACCTGGGAGACTCTGTACCACAATAAAATTGTTAATCTCTGAGGCTGCATAAGCACTCTTAACCTTCTGACTGCTATAAAGTCAACATTAATATTTTTCTGGAATTATTCAGGGTACGCATACCAATTGGGAAAAGAAAAGTGATCAGCATACAACGAGGTTTAAACATGCCAGTGCTAATAAAATGTAAAGCTTTGATGATGTAAGCAGCCTGGTGCCTTCTAGATAGTTTGAAAGTATAATACTAGTAATACTAGCCATGGTCGGTAGGTGCTATACTCCATATCATTTTGAGGACAACAGATTAGTGATATCTGACGTAGTTTGACAGTACTCATAGTAACAATTTCATAGGTCACCCAATCCCATCATGATGTCCATCAGAGTAAAACTATCATTGAGGTTAATTGCACAAATACCATGCATATATTTTAAAACTACACATTGTAACTACAGAAAGATGAAGGCAGCTGTTAGACCAAACCCTCCTTGTGGTAGATTTAATCTTAGAACACAGTATTGCATTGCAGGCTAACTCTGCCCACAGTCTGGAATTCGATCCTGACGACCTCAAGGTTGACTCAGCCTTCCATCCTTCCGAGGTCGGTAAAATGAGGACCCAGATTGTTGAGGGCAATATACTGACTCCGTAAACCATTAAGAGAGTGCTGTAAAGCACTGTGAGGTGGTATATAGGGTCGAAGTGTTATTGCTATTGCTAATCAAAACTCGCCCTCTGACACTTGTATTTGTACTGAGGGCAACTTCAGTCAATTCAATTTCTAAGGCATACTGCAGAACCACAGCAAGGTGAGACCATTCGCACTACTTTTTGTTTTTTATTTATCACATTTTTTTAAACTTCACATCTCCCTCAGAGAGGGTCCCTGGGCGGTGTACACATAAAATATTAAAAAACATAAAAACCATATATAAAAATTAAAAAGAGGCAAGTGATGTTAAACCTTAATTAAAAGACCCCTTACAGCTTTAAACGATCTTTAGACCACCTGCAACTGTTTATTTGAAACATGAAAACATAAAAATCAATATAGATTTTGCCCTGACTGCCACCAACGGACAATCTTTTATTTTGGAAACTCCAAAATACTGAATTGGATCTAGCTGAGCCAGAACAGACTCATTCAATCAATGGAATTTAAATTGCTAGGTAAGTATAAATAAATACCGTAGGATTGTAGACTATTGTGAACAATATATTCTTTCATTGGTTTTTGTTAAGAAACCAGTTCTTTCAGTGGCTTCTTTACCTGTATCCAACACACTTACTGGCAACGTGAAATACTATTTTAATTGTCTTTCCTTTTTTTAATCAGACAACCTTTAATTATCAAACATTGCAAGATTGATTCCCACAGGAGTAGTTATAACTGAGGAGATTTGCATTTTGATTACTAGCTCATGCTGTTTTAGTTGCCCAGGATTAAAATAGTAACAGCTCTTCTCCTTCAGGTACCAAAGTGCATATAGGTGTCATGATAAAAACCAGGTTGAGAACAGAAATGTAGTTTATTGCTTTTAGCTATCTTACCACATCCCTAAAAATAGGCATTTTGAAATGTCAGTACTATTATTTTCAGCCTGAATTAAGCTATTTCTCTAACCAGTTGTGTACATAACGTACTGTTGGAAAAGCAAACAGCAATCAGAATAAATTATGCAAGTTAAAATATATTTGGCCTATTTTGATATAACGGCATTTAGTATTTATTAATGTTTTCAAATAATTTGGAAAGTCTTTTCTCTAGAAAAAGTTTAGCAGAGAACAACAGAAAAAGGATCCCCAAAATGATTCATGGCAAATGCATGAGAGCTAGAAACATGCTTGTTTCTTTTAAAGAAAGTGAAGATTTTCAGAATAAGTTAGCATAAAATATGCAAATCCAGGCAACAAATTCTGAGGTTAGGTGGCAGTTTCAGCAAAACTGAAAAACACTGAAAAATGACAAAACTGACAGTAGAACACACAGTGAGCGTCAGAGGTAGATAAGTAACTTCAGAGGCGGATAACTAACTCAAACATATTTCCAACAATTCACCAACAAGGAACAGATCACTATACCCTACCCCAGGGCATGTCAAAAAAAACCAGGCCTTTGTGGCTTTATGAAAGCACAAAAGAGTCAGGGCCATGCAGACTTCAGGGAGCATAGTGTCTACAAGACAGGCACAGCTAACAAGAAGGTGCATCTTCTCAATCCCACAAGATACAATGCTTTACAGCAGGGGTCTTCAAACTTGGCCCTTTTATGACTTGTGGACTTCAATTCCCAGAATTCCTCAGCCAGCATGCCTGGCTGAGGAATTCTGGGAGTTGAAGTCCACAAGTCATAACAGAGCCAAGTTTAAAGACCCCTGCTTTACAGCTTGGAGCACACCAACTGGTCCAGATTGTACCGGTCAGGCAGAAACAACTGGAGAAAGACAACCCTCCAGCTAACCATGTCCTAAGACTTGGACTAATCCAGTATGTTTCATTTTTCCACCAACTGTTCCTTCATTCTACCTGCAGAAATCTTAAGAGCAATTCCTGTAGCTTGTCTCATTAAAAAGTGAGCTGTTGGGTCTACTTGAACTGTTGGGTCTACTTGGATCTTGGCAGGATTTGGTACTACAGAGAAGTAGGGAGAACACCAAAGACTCTCCAGGGTTAACTAAAAAAAAAAAGACCAAAAGGAACACACCTGCCGTGGAATCCGTCCATGATACCAAGCATGGCTCCGTAAATCATCACTGCTCATCTGCAATTCTTCTTCCAGCTCCTTCTTCAGTTTTTCTGGGGAACTGTCCATCACCTGCTTCTCCTTTAAAAACTGCAAAAGAGAACGAGATTGGAAGGCTTGGTTATGCTGAATCAGGCCTTAAAGAAGCAAAAGAAAAGAAAAACCTACCAGTATCCAGCCATAAACTTTCATTTTGCCTCACATGCCAGCTTTTGATCTTTAAGCTGCATTTGCTAAAACTACTGCTGGCTGAGCACTTAGGTAATGATTACTTGCAAAGGGGTGGATCACTCATGTCCCACCTGGATGTTTTGGGATAAGCATGAGTGTTCTGTTGGTCATTTATGTCCCTTCCTGCAAGGAATGCAGAAAGTAAAAAAGCAACTGCACTTAGGAGAAAGAGCTGGGCTGAAGCAGAAGGTTCAAGTTTAAACCTGTTGATCAGGCAATGTACATTTACACTGAGTTCGCTCAGCATACACATTTTGGTTATGGAATCAATTCATTTTCTAACTTTGCAGAAACCATCCTAAACCAGGGTTTCCAGGTTAGACTCAGCCTTCCCAAACACCTCAAGGTGTAACCAAGTGTTCACATATTATGCAAGTGCACCTGAAAGGTCTTATGTGACCTGGTCAAGTTTGCGTGCATGTAACAGCAAAGACTGGTTTAAAGAGGTGTGAAGTGGGAGGAGGCACCATGTAAGCTTTATTATGAGTTGTGATCAATGCATTTGAAACTCTATGATCAAGTTTTGTAAGTCCTGAACACTAGCTTCTGGGCCAATAATAAAAGAACTCTGCCTATGGTGCAGCAATTACAAGTGCTTTATTATAATTTCACTACTTCACTATTTCTAATACATCAGCATGGTAACTATATTACATAATCCTATTTTGCTTCCATATACCTATATGAAGGGCCTGTTACTGACATATTCCCAGAAGCTTTGATCTCATGTGCAGAAAGATTCCTATTCTCGTAGCTTGTTTAAAGAATAAGCTGCAGTATATTGCAGACAGACTGAATAGCAGCGTGACTGACCTAATCTCTCAAACCCAGATTAAATGATTTTTGATGAAGCAGCAACACACTGCAGCGTGAAGCTCCTGGCTGCAGTACTCCATCATTGCTAATAATGCAGTTTTCCTTTGCTGATCCGTTGTGGATTTCTTAAAAACGGTAGAAACATAAGATCAATAATCCAATAATAACTTTGTTCCTCCACATCCTCTTTCTGTCCTGTTTTGCCTCCATGTAGGTAGAGATGAAAACTAAATAGTGTGTGGGAGAATGAAGTGTTAGACTAGTTAGAGGACCTCTACAGTGGACCAGAAGAGAAAGTTGGACCTAGCTTTCTTCTTTCAACAACACAACTAACCAGGAGAGGGCAGTTTAAACTTCAAATAATCTTGAAGCAGTTTGGTATTAAAGCAAAATAGGTAGTGACAAGGATTTCATAATTACACAGATGCTTATCCCACCCTTGATACTGTTGTGAGAGTCCTGATAATTAGGAGATGCAGAGTTAAATTAAACATGGGCTGCAACTTGTATTCTCCAGATGCTTTAAAGTTTCATGAACACTGCCATAGTGGTATGGGAATTGTAGTCCAGAGCATCAGGAGTACTCCAAGTTTCTGCATTAAACCATCTATGAATTAAATTAATCCTGTTTTAATTTAATCCCCCTTCTTTAATTTACTTTTCTTAGATAACACACAGGGATTGCAGTGGCATTTTAATTAAAGTTATGTCTCTATACTTGCAGATTTTTCCTGAAATCAGATATCAGTGTAAATGTAAAACAATTTTACTCCTTTCAGGACACATCTGCTTTCTTTCCTATTTTTGTCATTTACATTTTGCAACTTTACCCGAGAACACTGAAAGAGCAACATATCTCTTATAAAATCTCCAAATCATTATAAATTATTGAATCGTGAAAAAAAAAAATTCAAAATAAAAGTTATCTGAGGCCACTGCTGCATGGGTTCTTGAAATAGAATTAGGAAATCAGTATACATTTGAAACGGAAACAGACCGTCCACCTCTGAGTTAAAGAACATCTTTCCAGGAGTGGATAATCTATCACCCTCAAAGGCTGTATGTATTCTCTCAACTCCTTTCTCCCACTAAAAAGTCATCAGTTTCCCAGATGAGAAGAAAACATCTCTTTAAGCTTTCAGATAGGCTTATTGTTTCCTCAAAATTAAAAGTATCCCCTCCGCAAATCTTCAGAAAATCATAGAAATCATCATTTCAACAAGACAATGCCATTGCCTCATCCACTGAAGCTCTTGTCTCTCTCTCTCTCTCTCTCTGTGTGTGTGTGTGTGTGTGCGTGCGCGCGCGCGTGCACGAATGTTGAGTGTACAGACCAGGGGTAGGCAACCTTGGCTCTTTTATGACTCGTGGACTTCAACTCCCAGAATTCCTGAGCCAGCATGGCTGACTCAGGAATTCTGGGAGTTGAAGTCCACGAGTCATAAAAGAGCCAAGGTTGTCTACCCCTGGTGCAGACACTCAGGAAAACATCTGTGTTCCAGAAGCAATGTTCTTTTTTCTTGCTGAAGGTCTTTGTCAAATTGGAAATATAGTCAGCAATGGCCCAGTTCTAATCAAGATGTCTCCAACTGTCCTCTCTCCAACCTGCAGCTAATGTTTTTTTTTTTTTTTAAAAATAGATATTTCATATCTGTGGAAAAAAAGTGGAGAAACTCAAGAGCCACAGGACCTGGGGGCCTCCTCATAATCAGCATTTTGACTAATCTGATTCCATCAGCAGCATTTAAAATATTTCAGTTTGACAGAAAAGAGCAAAACACAAGACCTTCTGCAATTCAGCCTCCCTTGATTGAAACTATCAATGAAAAAGCCAACAAAAAAAAAATAACAAGATTCTCAGGCATTTGCAGCATCCTGCTGGTTTCTAAAGAAATCTCTGCTTACAACGCCTGAGAAAGAAGCAGAACTAAGTCGCATTAAGTTGGAAACGCCATGAATGTACGCTAAAAGCTACCATACAACAATAACCACCGAAACATTTTTCCCATGACTACAGGCTTTTTTTTTTTAAGCAACTTGGATGAATTCCCGGGCTTCTAGTGATGTGAATGAATCTTTATACTACTTGAAAGCCTAAAGGAGAAAAGTTCTTATTCTCTAATCTAGCCTTTCTATGAATAGAATAGTCTGAAATCCTGGGGGCTTCCACTTTCCTGGATTCTTCTTATAACCATACAGTACTTTGATATATGGCGTTTTTAGTGCACTTCCAACAATTGTCTTTTGGGATGTAGTTAATCTATTAAGAATTAGCATTTAATCAATGTTTGGCAAGCAGGCTTTTTTTTAAAATTCAAACAACCCTTAATGTTGGATCAAACATGGCCATTAATTTTAGTAGACTTATTATTATTATGAATCCAGGAGGAAGAGACCAGGAGGGACAACCTAGCTTAGGAGTGTCTGAGCTGCCTGCAGCCCACCAAGTCATTTTCTGTGGAGTGTAAACATTATATAGTTGTAGAGACATCTAGGTTGGATCACAGGAAGCGCTCTAGAAAATACAGTAGCCTGAGGGTCTCAATTCAACCAAGCCGGGGGGGGGGGAGAGCTTTCCATGGCATCTTCTAGGCACAGGCAGCAAAAAGGTGAGACTTGACCAAGGAGATGGTCAGGAAGCTGAGTCAGGGTAAGGAGGAGGGCTGGGTTTAGCCACCCTTCCACACAATCTGGCTTTACTGAGCAAGAGGTGAAAAAGAGAGTGAAGATGTAAGCAATATCTTTCTGAAAGGAAGGAAATATCCATCTGCTCAGCAAAGAGATAGAAGAAAAACAAAAGCAGAAGGTCAACCCCACTAAATAGACCAGATAGGAAATCCAGGAAGATTAAAACCAACTGATATAATACAGTATGTATTATACTGTGCGGTACCTCCTCCTCCTCCTCGTCCTTAAACCTCAGTGAACTGGGAGTTTCTGCCTCAGCTGCTTCCAAATATTATCTCATTTCTCTGGAGTTAAAAAAAATGTTTCAGCCCCCTTTTGCTTTGGTAACGATTCTTGCTTATTTCCATCACGGTCATCTGCCTTATGTTCTACACCAAATTTGAGCAGAATTTTAAGCTGATTTAATTTCATTCTAGATATGATCTTGGTATACTCTATTGGAAGATCTTGAAGGACCAGGTTGGGAATAGATCCTCCTGGGGAAAAAAGATTTAACTATGAGATTGACATCAACTTGATGCCACAAAATCATCAAAGTGGCCTATGAAGTGGCCATCTGACCATGACTTGTGATTTTACCGCTGGCCTCTCCATTGACTCTGCTTGTTGGAAACCAATTATGAAGTGTGCAAATGGCAATCTCATAGCCATGGGACAATGTGATGGTCATAAATGCCCACTGTTTGCAAAGTGCCCAAATCTCGATCACATGACCATTGGGACACTGTGGCAGTTGTAAGTGCAAGGATAGGTCGTAAAGTTACTTTTTAAGCACCATTGTAAGTTCAAACAATTGCTGAACAGGACAGTTGTTAAGCAAGGGCTACTTGTAGGCCTCACAATGATTTGCGTTTCAGATGCCTGGTTTATAAGTGAGAAAAGGCAATAAATTGCACTCTCTCTCTCTCTCACGCACACACACATACACACCTCTTTTCATTTCTATTCTCCACTTTCCCACATTGCAAAAGGACAGATATTATGTTTCGCCTCAAGTTAAATCATATGATAAATGACTTCCAGATGACCAACTTTCCCATCACCCAATTGTCTGATTTCAAAATAAAAGTAAAGTAGCTTAAATAGGCTATTTCTTCATCGACAACAGAATGCTGCTGAAATCAGGCCATCTTTAGGACTTGGTGATGCTTTACAGTCAGCTAGACTGTAAGAACGTCCTCCACAATTTATTCTGCACCAAAACCTAAAATCGTTGGCTCCATTAGATGGTCACTGAAGTGGCAAGCTACCAATCACCTTATTCTGTCTATTCTAGCTCCATGACCCTTTTATTCAGTTGTGATTTCTTGGTGCCAGGTATACGAGGGAGGTTGGAAGGCATGGCAAGGCATGTG